TGGACAGCCACCGCAGAATTACCTAAATTTCACCATTTAAGCTAATGTAAGTGGCCGCATTTAGCACAGACACGAGTCTGCGGCGAGAACCAGAGACCTGTCACGTCTGGTGCATGTCGCTGTCTTCATTGTCCCTTTGTCAAAAACAAAATGCACCTGTCACTCTCATTCGCTTTAGCCAAATATTACATCTCATGGCTGTCAGTGGCAAAACACTGTCAATTCAATTTCTTGTGTTATGCCCCAAAGGAAAGTGGCAGCTGTGGTTTGCTAGCTGTATTGTAAACTTCAAATTCCTAACAAATGTGCCATAACAAATCAAGGAATTACTAGCTGCTCATGCTATAAGTGAGAAAATAGCTGAAATAATAATGCAAAGCATAATGGTGAATTCAAGTACCATGTGTGAGTTATCGGCTGCTGTTTAGTCTTATTTAACTTGCTGGGTAATGTTGGTGTTGAAACATTTATCCTCACTCCAGTTTGTTTTCCCACATGCAGCTTGTTACCTTGGCGTTCTTTGCTGCTATGACGGCCACTATTAAGGCCCTGAGTGATTTTTATGACTCCACTCTGTGCTGGAAAAGGAGCCACTCTCTCTTATGGGTCGGCCCAGGCAGTGCAGACACTACAGCTTCAGGGAAAACCATTAATCAGGACCCTCAACGCACGACCCCTCTGTCAAGACAGCTCTGCCAGGACCTAAAATAAATCAAGCCTGCACTTTAATACAGGAGTTGTTACAATACTAAATTTGTGTTGCACGGCTCCTTCAAACCAGTCTGCAAAATCATTACTTCCCTGCTGCTTATAGCCAACCATCTGCTGATGATTAGATGTGAGGATCCAAATGTAAAACAAAGGCTCTGTTCCAAAACCTAGTGACAGTATTTTAAGGCATCGTAGGTGTGTTCCCGACACAAAGCATGTTCCAAAAAAGGTATAGCTGGCATTATTATGATGCCTTGTAAAATGCAAAAAAAAAGGCAATTCCATAATACAAAATTGGGCATGCTTTATTTACCATGAAATGCAATTTGAGTTGTGGAAAAGTAATGTTTGGCAAGAAAAGGAAAGGTGTGAACAGGAAAAGAACCGTTTGCGGTAGAAAGATGTGCAGAAAGGTAAGATGCAAAGCATAAAGGAAAGTGTGGTAATGGACAGGACATGACAGGACAGGACAGGACAGGACAGGACAGGACAGGACAGGAAAGGAAAGGAAAGGAAAACACAGGACAGGAGGACAAGACAGGACAGGAGGAAAGGAAAACACAGGACAGGACAGGACAAGGAAAGGAAAACACAGAACAGGACAGGAAAGGAAAGGAAAACACAGGACAGTAAAGGACAGGACAGCACAGGACAGGACAAGGAAAGGAAAACACAGGACAGGACAGGATAAAGTGAAGGAAAACACAGAACAGGACAGGACAGGAAAGGAAAGGAAAACACATGACAGTAAAGGAAAGGAAAGGAAAACACAGGACAGGACAGGACAGGACAGGACAGGACAGGAAAGGAGGAAAGGAAAGGAAAACACAGGACAGGATGAACGGAAATGAAAAGAAAGGAAAACACAGGACAGGACAGGATTAAAGGAAAGGAAAACACAGGACAGGATGAAAAGAAAAGGAAAACAGGACAGGATGAAAGGAAAGGAAAGGAAAACACAGGACAGGATGAACGGAAATGAAAAGAAAGGAAAACACAGGACAGGACAGGATTAAAGGAAAGGAAAACACAGGACAGGATGAAAAGAAAAGGAAAACAGGACAGGATGAAAGGAAAGGAAAGGAAAACACAGGACAGGAAAGGAAAGGAAAGGAAAGGAACGGAACGGAAAGGAAAGGACAGGACAGGACAGGAAAGGGAAGGAAAACACAGGACAGGACAGGACAGGACTGGATGAAAGGAAAGCAAAGGAAAGGAAAGGAAAACACAGGACAGGATGAACGGAAATGAAAAGAAAGGAAAACACAGGACAGGACAGGATTAAAGGAAAGGAAAACACAGGACAGGATGAAAAGAAAAGGAAAACAGGACAGGATGAAAGGAAAGGAAAGGAAAACACAGGACAGGACAGGACAGGACGAAAGGAAAGAAAAGGAAAACACAGGACAGGACAGGACAGGAAAGGAAACAGAAACAAAGGACAGGATGAAAGGAAAGGAAAGGAAAGGAAAACACAGGACAGGACAGGACAGGACAGGACAGGACAGGACAGGACAGGACAGGACAGGAAAGGAAAGCACAACTGTTTTCAACACTGATAATAATAAAAATATATATATATTTCTTTAGCAAATCAGTATATTAAAATATCTGAAGGATCATGTGACACTTCAGATAGAAAACATTTATTTTAAATTGTAATAATATTTCACAATATTACTGTTTTACTGTATTTTTATTCAAATAAGCTTCTTTCAAAATCATCAAAAAATCGTATTGACTGCAAAGTTTTGTACAGTAGTGTTTATAAAATGTATATATACAGTTTTGTCACCACAATCCCCTTTTCCAACTGCTAAATGTCATTGTATTGTGTCACTGGGTAACAAGCACATCTACCCCATATGGGGTGAATGCATTTCAACAAACCGCAGAACAGCAGTGCTACTAAAGCAGATCTTTACAGGCAGCTAAAGCAGAGAAAAAAAAATAGTAGAGTCACTGATTCTTCAATGTGCTCTGCCTTCGTGATCATTTCATCTATTTGCATGTGGGCATTGTGGGCAGCAGGACATCCTGTGTTTGACGTGGTGTGCTAAACCTGAGGTAATTCACTGCAGTGACTAAACTGGTTGTGCTGGTGTGCTGCTGGCGAGCCAAGACACCCAATTAAAGCTCAAACATACACCATGAATCATTTAGCACTTTTAATTCAAGAGTTCCCTCAGGCGAGAGAGGAGAGGAGCAGCCATGAATAGAGGCTCAAAGTGTCACATAAATGCAGTGAATGTGACAGCTTCAATTAATTCTCTCATCCAGAGCATCACAACTTGTTTTGACAGAAGTTTAGGGAGAGAAATACATTTTTGCTCATTTCTGGTCTTTGATAATGGAGGGTTGAAGCATTATACTGATTTAATATCTACCTCTGTGAAGGATGTAGACAGTTTCTCCGCAGTCAAAATCTTCTCTCTAAACCTAGAGCGACACCTAGTGATTGCATACTGCAATCTCCTTTCAGAAGCTTGCAAGCCAGAGGCACATATTGACATTTGTTTTCAACTCATCATGGAATCATATCAAATCATGGACTTCCTGTCATGTACCCAGCATGCCTTGTGGTGTCAAGGTCACTTTTGCAAAAGATTTTCTGTGGCCTCTTGTGTTGAAGGCTGTGGATGATACTTTTGCTTCTGACCTCAGATGGGTTGGCTCGTAAGTCTTACCATTTGAGGTCTCATTTCTTCATAATAAAGTAGTGTGGCCATACCATGGTAAAGTGATTGTACCAGATGGTAATACCACGGTGCTTTTACATGATAGTAAATGATTAACATTCTCATATACCAAGATATTTACATTGTCCGTCATGGTTCTTACAAAATAATTTATACATGTCCACAAATGCATAGTATTACCATGGCAATACATAGTACATAGTTCAAAAAACACACAATAATGCAAAAAGAAAAATACATGGCATTAACATAGATAATATATGTATTTTTGAACAAGTACTACCAAGCAAACTTATAAATATTATGTTCCATGTCTAAAATACAAGGTGTTAATATGGTGCAATGCCCCCCCCCCCCCCCCAAAAACGCCACGATACACACTACCAGAAACAGTGCTGTTGCTTGAAATACAGCTGAAATAAAATTGAATATTAAATGAAAAACCTAAACTAAAATAATTAAAATAAGATATGCAGAAGTTGAAGTACTAAAATGACAACAACTAAAACTGAAATAACAATATATTCAAGAAAATTTAAAATAATAATAATAAAAAAGCACTGCAAAATTGTTCAAACTTGAAATAAAATTAAAACTTAAAATAAAAGCTAATTCAAAATGCTGGTACACACCTAAATCAGTGCTGATATTGTTAACTAAAACTGAAGGCAAATTACCATGGTACATGCCCAAAAATACATGGAATTAATTACCATGGTGCATGCCGGATAAACATTGTATTATGATGGTACAAAAATTTGTGGTATTTCCATGGTTTGTGTTCAAAATCAAAGAAATATCCGTAAATGTCTGGTTTGTATCCAAAGACAAATGTGGTATAACTGTGGAATGTGTCCTAAAAACACATAATATGATCAAGGAACATGTCAAGAAATGTGTTATGTGTTAAAAACAGGGTGCTACCGTGGTACACGTGTGTGCTGGATGGATGCCACATCACTGATGTGCCTCAAGTCGCTGGGGTATATTTGTAGCAATAGCCAAAAATACATTGTATGGGTCAAAATTATGAATTTTTCTTTTATGCCAAAAATCATTAGGATATTAAGTAAAGATCATGTTCCATCAAGATATTTTGTAAATGGCCTACAGTAAATATATCAAAACTTAATTTTTGATTAGTAATATGCATTGCTAAGAACTTCATTTGGGCAACTTTAAAGGTGATTTTCTCAATATTTAGATTTTTTTTTGTACCCTCAGATTCCAGATTTTCAAATAGTTGTATCTCAGCCAAATATTGTCCTATCTTAACAAACCATACATCAATGGAAAGCTTATTTATTCAGCTTTCAGATGGTGTATAAATCTTAATTTCGAAAAATTGACCCTTATGACTGGTTTTGTGGTCCAGGGTCACATATGGCTGTGATGTCTTTAGCACAGCACTAAAACATGAGGCCTTTGAGACCCGCCATAAACAGAAAGGTGATTTTTTTCCAAGGGCCTGGACGAATGAAGCATTCAAATACACACATCCTGAGGAAGGAACACGTTTCCTGATCCACATTAAACAATGAAAGGCGGTTCCAAGTGAAATGTGCAACTATTCTGCCCTTCTCCTCATCCTCCAGCGCCTGCGTGTGCGTCCTTCACATTCATGAACACTTACCTGTGAGGATGAGCATGTGTCTTCTCTGGCTCGGCCTGCTCCACATCAGCCTAAGCGCACTGTGTAAGGACTCCTCGCACAGATGATTGACACCGTCTCATCCTCTTTTTGTTCATTTGTCTTACCTCTTTCTCCCTTTTGCTCTCACCTCCAGGGCAAGCGGCCAACATACAGGCAGGTAAGCCCTCGATTCACTTTCCAGTTTCCATTTGTACTTTGTATTTGCATGGGAGTGGTCACGACAGTTTCGGGACACCAGCTTCTGTAGGGTTATTTTTACCTCAGACTAACCAGACTGCTTGATTTATATAGCTGGGAAAAGGGAGCAGTGAAATATTATGACAATTATGTGCTTTTCTGAGACTTTTAGGATGTATTTTTAGTCAGAGCAGATCTGTGATTCACTTGGATGCTTTGATCCTTCAGAGATACTTTGACACTCGCTGTTTAGCCCCTCACAGGAAGTTTGCACCTCGTACAATAGCAAGATGTTTAGTCTGCTTCTAATTGGAGGCTCAAACATGTTCAGTGATGCAGATTCTAAGCCACAAACACTAGGATCTTCTAGTAAACATGCCACCATTGAGTTTGAGTTCATATTATCCATGTTTTTCCAGCTTTTAGTGGTGTTTACTGAAGTGACGTGTGTAGCGGTGAACTCCGGTTGTGTTTGTTGGCCAGGTTGAGAGTCGTACGGCAGAAATCACAGGCTCTGCACTCCTGAGGGGGAAATGTTTAGGGTTTGTTTAGGTGATTTCCTTCCTTCCGCTTCTTTCTGTTCAGCCCGCCGCTGCTTTCCACACTTTCGGCCTCCTTTAAGACTTCAGGAAAAGAACTGTGTGTTCTGCTCAAAGTAAACACACAGAGAAGATGACTCTTTAGAAGTGGCATCTGATGGGGTTTTTGTGAGCCGAAGCAAGCACACGTTTCTTTGAGAACAATGTACTGGCTCTGTCTGATGCTTCTTTTTAGCCGAATACAGCATGGCATGACCGATAAGGCAATCCCAGAATGCACCACTTGTGTAAAGAAGTGTGCTTAATTGAATTTAATGTGCACTTACTGCAAGTCTTTAAAATTGGACTTGCAGATAGTATATCATTTATAAAATAAAAGGCCACTTAAGTGTACTTAAAGAGAGTACGCTTTCATGACAGCTTCTTTTTAAATAGTGCACTTTGTAATAAGTTCAAATTCAAAGTTTTACACTAAAGTACATTTTAAATCATTATGATTTAATCATCTTTTCTCGTGCTTTAAAGAAGTACACTTATTTTGATGTGTTAACTAACATATAAAGTACACATAAAGTGCTTGACTATCATTTTAACTGCAGTGTGTTATTTAATAATACATTTAAAGTTTGTATATTTTAAATACACTAAATTGCAACTTCATAACTGCATTTGTGTAATTACAAATATATTTAAATTCATGACACAAGTTTCAGTAGAAATTACATTAAAGTATATTTTACTGATTTAACGTACTTCATAGGATTTTTTTATACATATGCTTTAAATATATAATATAGAAATATACATTACATATATGTGACCCTGGACCACAAAACCAGTCTTAAGTGTCAATTTTTCAAAATTGAGATTTATACATAATCTGAAAGCTGAATAAATAAGCTTTCCATTGATGTATGGTCTGTTAGGATAGGACAATATTTGGTCGAGATACAACTATTTGAAAATCTGGAATCTGAGGGTGCAAAAAAATCAAAATATTGAGAAAATCATCTTTAAAGTTGTCCAAATGAAGTTCTTAGCAATGCATATTACTAATCAAAAATTAAGTTTTGATATATTTATGGTAGGAAATTTACAAAATATCTTCATGGAACATGATCTTTACTTAATATCCGAATGATTTTTGGCATAAAAGAAAAATCGATAATTTTGACCCATACAATGTATTTTTGGCTATTGCTACAAATATACCCCAGCGACTTAAGACTGCTTTTGTGATACAGCGTCACATATATAATTACCATAAATACACCATAAATATGTGACAGTAAGATGATGTGCAGAATTCACAGCAGATTTAACACAAATTATACGTTATTTCAGAGCCAACAAGTGTTTTTGAAATTGCATTTAATTTGCAATTTTGCATTTAAAATAATTTTAGAATAATTTATAAAAAATATGAAATATTTGTTTATTAATAAAGCACCTTTCAAAAACACAATGATGCTTCACACATATTTATGTAATTATTTAGATACTTATTTATATATAATTCAGGTAAGTAAACAACTGTCAACATCTCTTCTATAATTGTTTTCTCTTATTTTGACTAAAGAGGTTCAATTTAAGATGTATACTGAAAGCTTTGCATGATCTATTGATATTCCGTTGCTTCCATTAATGTTTTATATTTTTATAAAATCTAAAATTGTATATGTTTATTTTTGACATGTGGAATTTCTTGAACATGGCCCGAATGACCCAGCTGTGTTTTCTTTTATGTGTGTGTTTGTTATTTCTGAGCAGCAGTGACCATTGATCAGGTGACACTGACAGTGCTTCCTGCTAATAATGTGGAGAGTGGCACTAACGTGATCTTGCGTTGCGAGGCCAGTGTCAGTCAGAGCCTCCCCCAGCCGCTGACATACTCCTTCAGCCTCCTGCAGGACAGTCAGGTGATGTACTCCAAAAATAGCAGTGCCTCAGTGGTGGAGCGCAGTTTATCTCCAGCCAGGGTGTCCAACTCTGGTCGCTACCAGTGCAGTGTCCACATCTACAACAAGCAAAAGATGAGTAACATTCTGTCATTAAGAGTCACAGGTTAGTAACATAACTGACCCTCGCTAAGCCCCGCCTTAAAGAGATATTTCACCCGAAAAATGAACATTTGTGGCTACCATCAATTTGAGTACAAAAAAAGCATATCAGACAACACAAAATTAATACCCGTGGCTCCTGATGATATATTGAGGTCTTATGAAGCAAAATGATCAGTCTGTGCAAGATTTTTTATGCTTTCTCGAGATTTTCTAAACAGGTAAGTTGATTAAGACAAGTTATTTTTCACTTTATATGCTTTAGAAGTGTAAAACATTCACATTTCACATCATTGTTGGCTGCTAATGTAATAGCGTAGCTATACATTACGTCAATGCATGATGTAAACAAACTGGCCAATCAGTTATTTGAACCAGTTCACTGAAACAAGCTATCCGAAAGAACCAGTTCATGCAAAAGAATTGGATTTGAGGCTATGGATTACAGGTAAAAATGTTGTAAATAATGTTCAGTTTCTTGCACAGACGGATCATTTCGCTTCATAAGACCTCAGTATATCATTAGGAGCCAGAAGTATTATTTTGGTCTTGTCTCTATGCGTTTTTAATTCTCAAAGTAACAGTAGCCATTGACTTGCAGTCACCTACAACTTGGATGGCCTGAGGATGAGTAAATTAACAGCAAATTTTCTTTTTTGGGTGAACTATCCCTTTAAAAGCATTACTGACCAATTCTACTTTAGCAGCTGTTGCCATCCACTATATTTTAAGGAAATAGCTTTTGCTCTTTTGTAGGTCTATGGATATCCTGTGTGTTTAAACGGAATATGTTTAGGCCTTTATAACCCTTGAATGGATGAATACATATGGATCTCTAAATTGCCCTAATAGCATAAAACTGTACTGATATTTGAACAATTACACAGTAATAAAATAAAGCATCTGAACCTTTTGATACACTAATCTTAAAATGTTTTCGTTTACATCATCTTCAAAATCAGTATTTTGTTTCATGACAGCTTCGTCATCAGATCCACCATTAAATGATGCGATTTGATTATGAACTTGCTCTGCAGTAAATCGCTGAGCCTTGTCAAGATTTGCTGATGATACTTGAGAATTCTTTTGTTTTCTGCTTGCGGTCACACTCATCACATAATTTCTAACAGACATCGGCACCTTGAGAAATAAAGGTGATATAATTTATTGAGACGTCAGATATTCAACACAGCTGCACAGAAAAAAAAATAAATAAATAAAAAAAAAATATATATATATATATATAACATTACAATATAACATTTCTGTAATAGCTGACAGGGCGATCTTTAATATAACCTCCATCAGTTTTCCTGAAGAGATCTACAGCTTCAGATGTCAGGCTTCTAACCATGTGCCATCGTTCAGTAAGACCAGTGAGCCCCTTAGAGCACCAGTCATAGGTAAGAGGACCACATCCTGACAACTTCATACTGAAACATCTGTGTTTCTGCTGTTTTTGAATTAATTTGGAAGTGCATGTTGCCATTTTTAGATGCTGATGTATGCTTTAATCACTGATGGACCTTTGAGTCCGGTACCATATTTGATCACTAAAACTTGTGTCACATTCATTATATTCCTATTCTGCACACCAAAGCCTGCAAGATGAATTAAACACTGTTGTTTAGCTAAAGTTTCACTTTCAGGGAAAGTTTTTCAAGTTATTCAAAGTTTGTCGTGATAAATCTTCGCAACATAGACTCATTGAAAAAAAAATAAATAAATGTGTCTATAGTTACATTTTTGCAAAACTCCAAAAATTTACCTATGCCTACAATTCACTGCAGTTTGTCACTGAAATTAATTACAAGGCAGATTATTGGTTAATAAAGACTTGTTTTCATGCAGTTCCTTGCACAAAACTATAGGCGCGTTTCCATTAGCTTTCAAATTGCGCAAATTGAAATTGCGAATTGAAAATACGCCCAATGGAAACGCGTAAATTTCGCAAAAATGCCCATATATCGCAAAAAAGTTTTTACGCTCGCATGAGGTGGTTTTTCAGGCAATGCGAAAAAGGAATAATTTGCAAAACTGCAATCGAAACGTTTTTTTCACATTTACAGGCCAAATGGCGTATGTAAAAAGTCATATGATCATTCTTCAATGTATTATAACCTCCAAGAAACACTTCATACATGGCCGCTCTCCAGTAGGCTATAAGGGGCTTTCCTACCATTAATGCCTAGACAATTTACACTGCACACGCCTGCGGTGCAGTGTGGCTCTGATACGGCCAGTGAAGCTCATGGAAACGCCGTCATTTCACAATTCTTTTTTATCGACATTTATAAAATATCGCCAAAGTTTTGCGCAAATCTGTAATGGAAACGCGCGCCTTATGTTATGACCTCAAAACACTTTTACCATAGTGTAAACTAACAGATAACCAGCTCCATATGTATGGCTTTTCTGACATAGTAAATTGTACAGTGTCCAGTGAAACACAAGTCACATTGAAAGAGCTGTATGATTTCGTCACAGTTTTGCAATCCTTCCTAATATCACCATTTATTTGTGGTAAAATCACTGCAATGCACTGCCTCTGAAGCTTTATTTACTTAATACTCTTTGGTTTTATACTAGAGGACATGATATTCACATTTGTTTGCCATTTTTTTGCTTTTACCAAATTTAACATGGGTCACTTTTGGAGAACCATCAAAAATGATAAATCAATATCAGTGAAACAAACAGTAAATACAACATGAATGCATGTTAAATCTGACTATTATAAACACAAGTTTGTTAAATGTTTAGCTCACATAAAAATTACAATTCTGTCGTTATTATTTATTCGTGTTGTTCCAAAAAAAATGATGCTGGTATTTCCATGGAAAAAAATGAAACACACACACACACACACACACACACACAAAAGTTGTCCATACAACTATAGATATACATACTTCAAGTCTCCTGAAGTCATTCAACAGCTGCATTGTAACAGAAGTTGATGTTGTTATTCAGTGATAATGTCGCTCAGCCAAACCTCTGAAATCTTGTTCACATTCAAATAAAAAACATGACATAGCAATGACTCCAAACACCATTTGTTCTCACAAATGTTGAATTGGAACACAGTGCACCTGTTTGAATATGTAAAATGGGAAATGGGAAGTTGCAATGGAGCTTCAGTGATTAACGACTGAAAGATGACTTCAGAAGACCTATGGGCTAGTATTATGGTACTTATAGAGAGAATTTACATTTTTCTGTCTACCAGTACCCGTTTCCAGGCCTGACCTGGAGCCGAAGGAAGTTACGGTCACAGAGGGGTCAGATCTCATCCTCATCTGCAGTGTACACCAGGGCACTTACCCCATCACCTTCACCTGGTATTATAACAGAGTTAAGCTCCCTTCCTCCACCCAAGAAGTCAGATCATTAGAAGGAAGTTATGTCGTTAAAGCCATCGAACAAAACCAGAGAGGCGACTACTACTGTGAGGCATCTAATTACGCCATTGAAACCAAAAAGAGTTATCCAGCCAGAATTGGCGGTACGTTTTTAAATACAAACATCAACTTACCTTTGATCACTCTGACGTCATAGTAGAGCTTCTTCGTTTAGATATAGAATATTTTTAACTGTAATGCATACTCTATTCAAGTACACAGACGCAGGTGATAAAGTTAGTTGACCTGAAAGAGTAACAGACCGTGGAAACAGCCAGTTTATGCTAATGCTACGCTAATAGCAGCCCTTGCGGCAATGCTGAGAATGTAATGCTTGTAACTGTGTTGAGTTTCTGGCCTAAAAGTGAAAATGTCTACAGAAGATGTTCCAGTGTCCCTTCTGTTCATTTTTGTGTGTTTTTATAGTCAGTTTAGCACTGTGGAAGAAAGCTCTTATTGGAGTGTTCTGTATCTTGCTTTTGGTGGCTATCGTCATAGTCCTGACAGTCCTTTTGAAGAAATTGTCAAATCCACGCAGAAAAAAGCAAGCAACTGAGTTATCAGTGTAAGAGGCCTCTCTTCATCTCTGTTAAACATCTACTTCATTTGTTATGTGTGTATCATCATTTGAAGCTTTTTTTCCATTCTTTTTGAAACTGCTTTCTTTCTCAGAAAACCTTCACGGCCCAAATCAGGTGATCCCATGAGAATAAGCCTTACTCTCGACATTGAAGATAACACTGCTCTCAATGGTAACAAATGTCCTCATCCTTGTCACATTAACATTAATACAGTGCACTTGGCTATTGTTTAAGCTGTTGTGTGTTCCTAAAAAAAAGTTACTTTGATCTTTATTTAGACTAATGTCAAGTTTGGTCCATTTAAGTTAAATTAAAGTTTCGGGTTGAATACAAGTTGGGTGTAATGTTGATTAGAACAGAAAATCCTAAAATGTGTGCATGCAGTAACGAAAGTAGAATTATTTGAGCTGAATTTCTTAAGTGGGACTACTTCTAGGTGAATGAACTTCTGGTTTTGCATTACCAATGTAATTCCTGTGGAGTTTGTTACATGCAACAAGTGCTATGCAGGGGTATGTTTCCCAAAAGCAACTATGGTCGCAAGTTCCGTCGTCACCAATAGAGTTCAATGGAATGAACCACCATAGTTAGCTAACGATGCTTTTGGGAAACGCACCCCAGATTGTTACATAGTATCCCTTTCTGGTATCGTTGGGCTGAGTAAGGCAGGGGTGTCCAACCCTGCTCCTAGAATGCCAACATTCTGCAGAGTTTAGCTCCAACACACTTGTCTGGAAGTGTTTTTAGACCTTGATTAGCTGGTTTTGGTGTGTTTAATTAGGGTTGGAGCTAAACTCTGCAGGACAGTGACCCTCCAGAAACAGGTTTGGACGTCCTTGGAGAAAGGTCAGGTGAGGTTAGGTTATTGCAGTGTCCAGTTCTGTTCCTGAAAGGCCACTGTCCTGCAGAGTTTAGCTCCAATCCTAATCAAACACACCTGAAGCAGCTAATCAAGGCCTTCAGACTCATTGGAACTTCCAGGTGAGTGTGTTTTTGGGCAGGTTGGTGCTGAACTCTATAGGACATTGGATTGGACACCTCCGGGTTATGAAAATGGCTGAATGGTATTTTGAATATTGAATCATACTGAAAAATGTATTTTATAGATTTTTCTCTGACACTAGATGTTGAACCCATATACTGATTGTCACTGATATCTTGTTCATTTCTGCCTTACAGGAACTCCCTGTGTGATGGGCAGGAATGTCTGGAGTGAAAATGTATCTGGCTCAGGTAGTACAGATTTGAAACCGGATTATGCCAATGTAATGTGAGTTCATCACATGACACCCTCTGCCTGCTGTTTTACTAGATTCTGACAATCATACTGATGAAGACTCTGAGCTGGTTCACCCACAGGAAGTCGATCCCAGAGGAGGTGAGTTGCAAAGATTTTCAAAGATCTTCAACAGTCAATGAATTCCTCAGATGGAATCATTGTGAAAAATCTGTCAGTTATAGCTGGATATTGAATATATTGAATCGTTGGTTTTGGTTCTGTGTGAAATGCTGTGCCAGAACCACCATAAACTTTGTTTACATTTGCTAAATTGTCCACGATTTATTTAATACAAAATTGCAAGAAAGAATGATACTGGTTAGATTTTTTAATGCCGAATTCAAATTAGCACAATTGGTTATAGTGATGACGAACGTGAATGTGTCATCACAGCTTGGCGCTACAATGTCATTTGGTTTACTGTATATTGATTTCTTGTTGAGTTTATTTTGTGTCATGCTTATGGGATGATTTATGTGTTAAAGGACAATACCAATGTCAAGTCTTCAATGTGTCAATAATGTGTGTTTTGTAAGATTAATAATAGTCCAAGGCACTCGAATCTTATTCAAAAAGTTTTCATGATGGCTATAAGTTTTAAAAACAGGTGACAAGTGCACACCTACGCGTTGCGGCTATTTTGCCTTCGTCAGGGTATGAGTAACAAACACAATCTGAGTTCATTTTGAGCAGTAATTAATTAGTCTAATGTGTGTTTTGTAGTTGGGTACAAGAAAAGAACAGATTCTTGGTTGGTTTTATATTTTCTTTTTATTGTATGGAGCCCCGCACATGGCATGCAGGAAAAAAATAGTAGGCTAAGTCGTGCACACGATTTACTATTTCGTTTCCTCGATTTATAAATTGTGCTCACGATTTACTATTTCGTTCCCTCGATTTATAAATTGTGCGCACGGTTTACTATTTCGTTCCCTCGATTTATAAATTGTGCGCACGATTTACTAATTCGTTCCCTCGATTTGCTAAGTCCTGCACACAATTTATAAATCGTGAGAATGTTTTAGTATATCGAGGGAACGAATTAGTAAATCGTGCGCACGATTTATTTATTTTTTTCTTGCATGTCATGTGCGGGGCACCGTATTATTGAATAGATATTCCTTTTGCAGCACATTTCAGAGTAGATCTTGTGTCTGATCCCGTGTTTTGGCATTGTTTAGTGCCAGGTTTTTGCTGCTCTCAGCACATTTTTTTCTAGCACATGTATAGTTTATTTTTGAGTATCCATTTTGTACGATATTGTTTAATTTTCATTTTTTTATTGTTTATTTTGTACTTCGTGTGGATTACATTTTTAAAAAGCAGCTTGTGAAAATAAAATCACTTTGGACCTTGGGCAACTGCGTTGTTGTTCTGAGGCTTCCTAACTCCTTCTGGGCCTCTCAGCAACACACTTCCCGACAGTTACACTTCAGGACCCAGATTTTAAACTCAATATCGAGTGGCAATCCAACCCAGTGCATTTGTGGTGCAAACATTGACATTTATTAAGTATTTTATTATTAAGACCTAATTTACGATTTTATTTCAATTCCATATAGCCTAAATTTCCATCCATTTGGATTACACAGGACTGAATTAAACATAATCTTGATGGCATAGTTTATTTAAATATAGTCTATATAGTCTATTTAAATAATTATATTTTCAGAATGCATTTATTGTTTAGCATCAGTATTAATCTGTTCATTGTTAAAACAGTTAAATATATTCAGTTAAAAAGTATGAACATGATTAAAATATGATTAGCTATGGCACAAGTAATATTTAATTAGTTAAAATGTATAGGATTGATGATCAATATATAAACTTGGTTATTGTGTATTTCAAACACATTCAGTTTATTAGTTTTACAGAAATTTGTTTTATCTGAGGTATGACTGACAAATATTCATCACATGAAGTTTATTAGTTTATATTAAAACAGTGTAAATTTGATCATTTTATATGGAAATTAAAATACATAAATCTTAAATTTAGTTTTTTTTTTTTAATGTAGTATTGTTTTTTCTCTACTGTCTAAATCCAGAAAAGACCAGAAAATGCCGTTTTTGGATCATGACTACTTTGAGAATTTCCTATCAACACAACTTTCTTAACTACATAAATTTCCATTTGGATGCTAAAAAATGTGTGAAAATGTGTCCATATTTCTAATAGATGTTCCCGTGAAGAAAACCACAGAGCCCGAATACAGTGTCCAGCACACAGAGGTCCAGGTGTCCACACCAGGTGAGCTCAGATGTTTGAATCACGTACATTACAGCATGACCATAAGAGGCACGTTGTTACACTGCGTCCAAACTGACATTGTAAATGAATGTGTGGTGTTTACATCATGCATGAGACGCCAGGTGGCTATTTCCTGCACTGGTGGGAAAGAGCTTCCTGTTTTCACAATGGGCCCTGGAGCCTCATGTTCCTCTGCCCAACCGACACAGAAACTCGTCTATTGTTTCTTTAGTGCAAATAAACACTCCACAGTCCCTTTTCCCTGGTTGATTAATAGCAAGACCTCTTACTAATCATTGCAGTATGCGTGTGAAACAATGCTGAAACATAGCAGAGGTCACACTGAAATGGGTTTTGGCATGCCCACATATTGCCAAACAATAGCTGCATCTGGAGGGAAACAGATTACTTACACAGGCACATTAGCATGGCACTGACGCGATAAGCCTAAGGCGGGCACCGCACTCCTCTTCCTTGGGAGTTGATTGGAGTTGGTTCAGGAAGTTGGGCTGAATTTATTAAATTAAATATTCATCCATTTTCCACTACGGCTCTTTTGTGATGGTGGTTCATTTGTTTTTTTGCAGGAGTTTCGGAACAGGCTGAGGGCGTAAGTGATGCACAATGTTGACGCACACAGACACAAAAGTCCACATTTAGGTATGTACAAATAGTTTTGCAACAGGGAGGCCCTCTTGTGGAAGAAATAGGTGCCGCAGAAGAAATCTCAATATGATGTATCTGATTTGGTCAGTCTTATGAAGCCTGTCAGGAAAATTTCCAATCACAAAAAATCCAAAGAGGAAAATTAAGAAATTAGCACATTTTACATGTATTCCAAATATTTTCAATTCTCATTGCCATCACTGTATTACAGTAAAAATGCTGCTCTAAAATTATATTTTTTATTAAATCAGCATAGTTAAGAGCAGTACAACAAAAACTGTCATGATATAGAAATACTTTATATTTGTTTCATATAGTAGTAATGAATATGAGAATCAGACTTTTTTTTTCTCATTATAAGGTATATAATTTGGGGGGAGGGACATGCTTAATTAGCATGAGCATAAATAAATTATTTTGTACAAATTACGAAAAAACAAAAGCTGCATGTATTGTCCACAGTTATATTTCTGTATTAGTTTAGACAGCCGGGTAATTAAAAAGTAAAATATTGCTTAGAACATGATTCTGCAAGCTAGTTTGTGAAGTGTGTGTCTTTCTCAGCAGGCGGCTCTGGAATATGCACAACTCAACAACAGTGAACAAGAACCTGCATGAGTCTCGACACTTTACATCTAATTTATTCAGCTTCTCCACCACCAGAAGCTGATTTTCAATCATGATGTGCTGACTTTGAATATTGTACTTTGATTATTAACATTACTTTGTGGCTTGGATTTGTTACATGAGTCAAATTTGTTATGATGTTTGTATATCAGAGATTAAAATGTGAGCAGTCAAATCAAGTCTTTTGCTGGTTTTCTTTGTTTTTCCTCTTTGGTGTGTTTTTTTCAAGAACTATGAGGAACAGGAAAGACATTTTTGCTTCCAGAACACGAGGGAGCCACTGAACTACTTGAAAGAGGAAGTCTTTTAAAGTGGAGCTACTCCAAAGGGTCCTTTTAAACATTTAGGATCAAAAGCCACTGCTAACTTTATATATAGAAGTTTGAAAAGACTTAGCCCCTTGTTAGAAAAGTTGTTCTAACTAAATTGCAAGCATATATACTTCTTATTAATCTTTTCAAGGAATTTCACTCAGATTTTCATTCTCACCATTGATTAATTACTGTAGTAAACAATCTGAGACTGAGAAGTGAATGTTGTCTTTGAAAATATGTGCCTTTTTTAATGGTATACCGCAGGGTTCTATTTTAGGACCTTTGTTATTTTTGTAAAATGTCAACCCTGTCTTAAAAAAATCATTTTATTTTTTAAAGACTTGCTAGATCTGTGTTAGTTCCATCATGCAACCTAGGATCTGCAGATTCTACAAGCAGTACATGTTAAAAAAAGGAAGTGTTACTTTTATTTTTATTTTAGTTGTTTAGCTAAGCAATGTTTAATCTATTTCATTTTTCATCTATTTGGGTTGATTTTAAAATATTTAAAATTTTAATTAATTAATTGTATTTATTTATTCATTCATTCATTCATTCATTCGTTCGTTTGTTTGGGGGTTTCTTGTTTGTTTTTTTCAGGGCCATCTGTGAGTGTCACAAAATATTGCATTGCTTGTGACACTTCTAGTGTCCTTGGATGGTGCCAGGCTGCTTGAGGGCTCCAATGTGACACTCAGGAGCTTATCAGCATGACTCCCCATCAATCATACATCGTGGGTTATCAGTAGCAATGGCCACCCATTGTGGTTACCTTAGAGGAAACAAGGGAGTCCCGTAATGGGGTGCCACTTTAGCAGATGAATAGATCTTCAAGGGTGCCACAGTAACTCCTAGGGCTTTGTGAAGGAAACCGGGCTTTACAGAAGCTGTATGAGGTGTGTACACTGAGCTTTTCATCACTCTCAGACATGCGCTTATTTTAGGGAGGGGGAACGTCATGTACCTCTGTTTTACTGCCATAAAGTGTCCCTCTCTTGCGCTCACTTGTTCATAACATGAGCCCTCAATGTCGTGCAGAATTCCAGTCCTGCAGTTAGCTGCGATGCTAAAATTGGCACGCTGACCCCTGTGAAATGTATTCTGGGAATATGTTGTCTTTCACTTTGCCTTATGGGGCCAGTCCAGAATGCTACTTTATGAATATCTTGCACTTGTGACAAGAAGCTCTTCTTTCCTGGATACACACCCTTCAGAACCGTAACGCAGCACTGACTATAAAACTCAGTGGAAATTAATAAAAAATTATATTATTGATGGTATTTATATAGTATTTTTAATTACATAGTTTATTAAAAGATTTTATTAATGTTAATGTTTGTGGAATCTGGTTCCACTGGTACAACTCCGATTGAACAGATTGCAGATGCTCTCCATTATCCTTTCTATAAATATGAAAGTAACAGAAAATGAAGGGCATATGCATGATAACACTTTGCATGTATGATTGGAAGTGAATGAAACAAGCGTCTAGTGTGCCCACATATTTAGAGTGACACACTCAGATACAGTCAAAATATCCTGTCAGCAACACAATATAGTATTTTTAATTACATAGTTTATTAAAAGATTTTATTAATGTTTGTGGAATCTGGTTCCACTGGTACAACTCCGATTGAACAGATTGCAGATGCTCTCCATTATCCTTTCTATAAATATGAAAGTAACAGAAAATGAAGGGCATATGCATGATAACACTTTGCATGTATGATTGGAAGTGAATGAAACAAGCGTCTAGTGTGCCCACATATTTAGAGTGACACACTCAGATACAGTCAAAATATCCTGTCAGCAACACACGGGTCATCTCTGTCTCTACCTGTCTCTCATCGTTAGATAACCTTTCACTTTCCTCGAAAAGCTCCCAATGGGTTGACCCAATGAGAGAACAGGAACGTGCCTGGAATAGGCCATCATCCAACTGAAGATGATATCTGTGTTATGCAATGAGCTCATGTGGGTAGTTCACCCCTCACTAACCTTCACCCAGCCTGAAGATCAAATTAATTTTCCAAATGGATGAAATTAATCGTTTTAGTTGAAACTAGAACTTGGTGTACAGCGACTGTTTACATCCACATATGTTTATACACTGTTTATACCCTAAACTCAATCAAAATACCCAATTACATATGCATCACATGTATTTTGAATGAAATTTATGTGCATATGAAGAGCAGCAGTTCATTAATGGCTTGTCAATCCTGTCTATGGTCCTGTCAGGCTTGTTAATCCTGTTTACCAAAGAACATTATTGCCTTTCTAACATTGAAGAATATGCCAAGAAAGCTTTCTTCCGATGATGCTAACATCACAATTACTGAGAATTACAGTCAGTGTCCCAAATTTATTTATTAATATTAGCCTCATGCCCATTCCTTCTCTAATATCTCTGCATGAGTACTTGAGTGTAGGAACACTGGTGGGAGATTTGTATTATGCTGCGCTACAGATTTTGAATTTAATTGTGAAAATAGTCTTTTTATTTATGTAGTCTAATTTTATTTATTTTTTTACAGTCCTGTTAAGCATGTACTACTCTGTGGGATCTGTAAGATAATTTAATGTTTTTAAAGATGCCTGTGTTTACAAATATAGTACAGTAAAAGCAGTAATATTGTGAAATACTATTACAATGTAAAATAACTGTTTTCTGTTTGAATTTTGTTTTAAAATGTAATTTATTCCTGTAATGCAAAGCTGCATTTTCAGCACCATTACTCCAGTCTTCAGTGTCACATGATCCTTCAGAAATCATTCTAATATACTTTTCTTATTAGTATCAGTGTTGAAAAAAACCATTGTGCTGCTTAATATTTTGTGGAAATTATGACACCTTTTTATCTAGGATTCTTTAATGAATAGAAAGTTCAAAACAAAACTTCAAAGTAAAAAAAAAATGAAATTGAAATCTTTTGTAAAATTATAAATGTCACTTTTGATGAATGTAATGTGTCTTTGATGAATAAAAGTTACAATTTCCTACAATCTAAATATATAGTAATTAAAATAACTGGGTAACAATTAGGTGTTCACCTAGAACTTACCCCTAAACCTAACCATAAACCATAGTTTTTCAGTATGGCAGGTTGAGGTTGAGAATGTCAAATGCAAAACAAATTGTTACACAATTACTAAAACACTAAATTGGAAATTATATTGTGTTATGTGGAACAGTAAAACTATACTGTATATTTCAAACCTTGTTCCAAAACACTGTAATCTAACATAAAGTGATATTTCTCTGCCAGTCAGATTTTGAAGACTCTTTTGGCCAAGCATGTAGCCAATTATTCAAGACTGGCGACCAAAAGTAAAAATGTAAAGATTAGTCATTCAGAAACCTATATCGATGAACGACTTGTCTGAATATTGGATGGATGTGTGTTCCTCAATGTCTGTGAGGATTCAAGCTCTGTTTTTGGCTGATCACTGTGTTTTAAATGCCTCTTTATCCGCTGTTGTGAAGTGTAAAGCACTAACATGTGTATGTTGTAACATGGCACTTGTTTTGCTGAGTGTTACTGGGGCTAAATTTGCTTACCTTGTACTGTCCTTTCCACTTCCTGTTTCTTTGCTAAGCACACACTCATTGGCTACTGGTGGCGTATGGGTGAAACTCGTGCCCCCATTGTGTAAGCAACATAGTGACCGTTCAAAGCGCCCACATTTTTTTTTTTAGAATCGGGAACTCAATCCCCACACAAACAATCATACCATCAAAGCTCTCTCAGCCCACCCTATGAAGTCAGCCACACACATGCTCCTGCAACACTTTGAAACAGCTGCGTGGCTCTACTCAGAACTTCAGGCTATTCGCAAGCTAGCATTCTTCATACCTGCTCAATGTCAGCGCGTCCCCGCTCACATTTGCACAAAACAAACCGCACGTCGCACACAATACAGTAGACTAGTGAGAAATAAGTGAGTTTGTTTGGATCTGAGAGAAAGAATCAGGGATGTTCTTTCATTCATAATATTAGCATGAGCTAAGAGTGTTAACCTAACTGCTACAAGACCAGCTTGAATTTCCATCATAACCATGCAGTCAAGCTAGTTGACCTGGGGTGCGTTTCCCAAAAGCATCGTTAGCTAACTATGGTCGTTAGTTCCATTGAACTCTATTGGTAACGACGGAACTTGCGTCCATAGTTGCTTTTGGGAAACCCACCCCTGGGATGTGTGTCCCAAAAGTATTGTTAGCAAGTTCTGCCATTAATCAACAGAGTTCAACAATTTGGTGTTTTCCAAAAACAGTTCCAACAACATTCACAAACGGCTTCGCAAAGTTGTGTGGTTGGAACTACAGCCCTCAACTTGCAGTTGGAAGCATTGTTTCTTGTTAGTATGGCATGTGGACTTAAATATATCATATCGGTGCGGGAGTGTGTGTTAGGTAAGGTGTTGCTAGTTGTGGTTGTATTGTAGATCTGTTGTAAGGGATGGGATATTATGGGCCTGTTTCTTTTCTTAGTGCGGACTGAGGAACCCTGCGGTATACTCTTTACAATGTATTTTTGGATCGAAATGTTTTCACATCTTGGAGTTTCTTGTGTACCGCGAACTGTTCAAACCGGTTGAGTTGTTTTAATTATAGGGCATTGTTTTAAGGTTTAACGATTAGATTGGTCATTTTGGTTGTTGTTGTACTTGTTTCTTATAGTTAAAGACTATAAGACAGGTTTTTTGCCTGGGCTTCGGCGTGGCTGTACATTCGCATGCTGGCGTTTGCATGTTGGTATTTTGTGCAGCAACGTGGTGCATACGGTCTTGTTACCTGGCGCTGCGCATGTAGCATTGGGAAGCTATTGCTAGCATGCTGTCCGACTGTT